TCTCTCCATCACAGCAGGTAGAGATCTCTGACACAAATAATCGAGAACTTAATTATAGCTTAGGCCAGCAACTTGTAGTTTTATCTTTAGCAATGACATTTTAAATCTAGAACGTTTTAGAAATCTGCGTGTGAGTGTAGTATTTATCTGTAAATAGAATTAGTATAACCTTCATGTGAATGGAAAGTTTTCAATTAATTCCTATTGTCTGAAAAATGAACATTAACTACAGATGACAGGAGAAGGATCAGTGCTTTTGAATTGTAATATTTGAGATGAGTACCTATGGACTGACAAAAGAACAAACAAGTCTGTCTTGGAGGAAGCATAACCAGAATTCTTACAGTTAAGGATGCTGAAACTTTATCTCACATACTTTGGACATGCTGTCAGGAGGGACCAGTCCTCAGAAAAATACATTATACCGGGCAAAGTAGAGGGTCAGAGAAAGTGGAGAAGGCCCTCAGGATTGGCACAGAGACTGTAACAATGGGCTCAAGCATATCAGAGACAGTAAGGTTGGTGCAAGGTATGGCAAGGGTCAAATGTGATTCATACAGTCACTGTGAATCAAAGTTGCCTCAGTGACAACAGCAGCAACAACCACTGTGTGTGTCACATAGATGCTGAGAAGAAAGGTAAAGTGGCTAGAGTAACTTTATTGTGAAACAAAAAATAGACACTCACTCTCTCTCTCTCTCTCTCTCTCTCAATACAGAGCAGTTATTATTGAGCCAGAATTCTGCTTCTTTGCTCTGAGAAGTAAAGCCTATTTTTATCAAATGCTAACTATAATAGTATTTTTAACCTCGAGGTTTCTAATTGCATGACAAATCAGCAAGTGCTTATTGAACCCTTTCAGTAGGAAAGATATTTTGTTTAAGAATATTGAAAGTTGCAACCACTGTGGAAAGTGGTGTGGCGTTTTTCTCAAAGAGTTGTAAATAGAGATACCATTTGACCCAGCAATTCCACTACTGGGAATATACCCCCCAAAGAGACCATAACTGACATCCAAGCAGATATATGCACACCCATGTTTATCGCGGCTTTGTTCACAATAGCAAGGAGTTGGAAACAGCCTAAGTGCCCATCAACAAACAAATGGGTAGAGAAGCTGTGGTATGTTCACACAATGCAATACTACGCTGCATTGAGAAACAAGGAACTCATGCAATATTATTCAAAATGGGTGACCCTGGAGAACATTATGCTGAGTGAAATATCTCAGTCACAAAGGGACAAATACTGTATGGTGCCACTGTTGTAGAATGAGGCTGACATCAGAGTGGGGGCAAGACTGAGAAAAACTGGATAAATTATGTATACTGCATTGAAGCCGATGAGGGAGAGAATAGTTTAAAAGTAATATATTTTAGGGCATTATGATTATCATAAGAGTGCGGAATGAGGGTTTCAGAGTGGAGTATATTCGGGGTGGGGTTAGGGGGATGCGAGGGATTGTACACCAATAAAGGCGTTTTTTCCTTTTGCTTTTCAAGGAGAGGAGCAAACTGGGGGTGGGGTGGGGTGGGGTGGACGGGGAGAAAAGTGCAACAATGAATGAATGGAAATCCAAAATCTCTGTAAATGTTCATTGAAATTACTAAGAATAAAAAAAGGCAAAAGTATTAGCGGAGCTAAAAAATAAAAGAATGTTGAATGAAAGTCATTATAAAGTACAATATGAGTAATAAGATAGAAAAAAACACTTTGGAAAGAAGTTTAAAATTATTCTGCTCTCATGGGGGAAAAGGAGTCATTGTACACAGAGCACTCTTTTATTCAGAGAGAAGCAAGAAGGAAGGCAATATGCCAAGTATTAAATACAAATAAGGATAGTTTATTGATTGCAAGGTAATAATTCACTAGAAAGAATTTTTAGAAGAACTTGTCTTTCCCTCTTGAAATATTCAGAAGTATTTTCTAAACAGATTTAGATAGTCTTGCTTGCTAACTGGGACACATGGAGATACAAAATAGATGATAAGTGTTGGAAACTATTATTGCTTTTGCTCATAATCCTAAATAGATATGCTTGGACCTTTAATCTTTAATCCATCCTCCTGAGACTCCACAGGTGATCTGCATGTCACATAAGAATGCGGTGAAACATGCAATAGAACTTTGATGCTTCTTTGAGCCAGTTTTCTCTGAACTTGCATTTAAAGAGAAATGAAACAAGTTGGAGATAGCAGGTAGTATCAGAGAAACATTTAAAACTGCTTTCAATAAAAAGGCATCGAAAGGAAAAGGCGTAACATAGGAAACATGAACACAAGCTTCAAGTCACTCAATTACCTAGACATGCATTTTGAATTGACCTTTATATCCACCAAAGATAAAACTAGAGATAATGGACGGACAATTTTTCCGATTATGGAAAAAAAATAGATTTTGCAGTGTTGGAAGCTGATGAGCTCTACATTCCTAGACTTTACAAAACATTAAGGAGGAAGGGCGGATAACCCTGGTTACTTGGAAGATCCACATGGCTCACAACAGGATCAGTACTGCCCCCTCGAGGGTGTTTGGAAGCTTGCAAGACTATTTTCAGAAGTAACCAAGGAGGGAGTTAACAGGACTTGGGTGGTGAGAACTCAGAAAAATTAGAGGTTATTCTATGATTGCTACGTTTCCAACTTGAAGGCAGACAGTTCAAATCCACCAGGTATTCTACGGGAGAAAGATGGGCCAACTTCTCTCTTGTGTTTTAAAACCTCTGAAAACCCGCTAAAGTGTCAGCTGTGGGTCAGTTCCGACACAAAAGTACACAACAACAACAACATCATTCTATGATTAAGAGAGTTCTCAGATGAAAATATTACCCATGTCCCACACAAATTTTAAATGTAACACCAGAATTCTGTGTTAATACTAAAAGGGTTTTCAAAAGAAATTAAGCAAAATAATTTAAGAAACATAGTTTTATATAGAGTGATACTTATACGAAATTAAAATTATTTGAAAATCATTGAATAGTGAATTTTTTCCTCTTATAGTTCTTACTCAGTACATCATGTTTTCAGTTATTTAATCTCAAAAAATTTGGGTTTATTTTGCCATAGCAATGAGTCAGTTACAAATATGTAAAAGAAAATACTTCAGACCACATGTATTTTGCATTGAATGGAGAAATCTAAGTAATGGATAAATTAAAGTAAGATGGTTTTATGTTGACAGAGTTGTTGTGTCATTTGACAGTACATCACAGAAAAACCTCTTGGTATTTGAAGCCGGCAATAAAAACATACTCAGCTTATAAATGAGGGTTGTAGGCTTAAACCCACTTAGTTATGCCTGAGAACAAAGGTCTGACAGTGTACTTCAGAAAAATCTGCCTTTGAAATTGCTAAAGAGAGCAGATCTGCTAGAAGATACATGAGTTAGGAGACTTTGATGACAACTGGTTGTGGTCCTGTCTCTGGTTTTACTTAGAAATGTCATATGTATATATGGAATAACAGGCAAGTTGAAACTCTTATGAACAAACACATATATAAGTTGGAAACTTAAAAAATGAAAAAAAAGTCAATAGAGATGTCAATAAAATTGCATTAAATATTGAGAAATTTTTATTACTGCTATTCTAAAAATTTTTGTTTTGCAAATAACAATGATGTGAAAGTTGCATATGGAAATTATACATTTGCATCTGAATTGGATTTCTTTTTCTTGTTGTGTACCATCAAATTGAATCTGACTGGCACAGGAAGAGATTGCCCACCCCTCCTTCTCCAGTAGAGCATCTGGTGGATTTGAACCACTTACCTTCAGGATTGTAGCACAGCTTCTTACCACTATGACACCAGAGCTCCCTTAGACTTCTATATTTTATGCTGATTCTACCCCTTGATATCTACTGAGATTTGGTCTACAACTTTTTACCAACCTTTCCTCTAAGCCTGCCACTTCTTAAAGGATATGGTTGTAGGAGCCTTGTTAAGTATCAGAAACTGAATGTATACGTCTGAATGTTGGAGAGTTTTGAATGTGTAAAATATATTTTTGGTTTTATAGTGTCATATTTCAGTTGTCAAAATAGAATTAATTTTTATAATATGGCACACAAATTCCCATTTATTTACAAGAATATAATCTCCAATATTTAGCATGTTATCTGCACTTTAATTTGGGTTATTTCTTTTTTTATTATATACAAATTTGCCTTGACTATGACTACTGAACACAACTATAAGTTCTCATTATAGGATCCACTAATATTTCTTCATTTATCCATTTCTATACAATTAGTATGGTAAGTCTTCTGATCTTTCATTGGACAATGTCATTATGTGTTTTAGTATAGTTATGTGTGAATATATACTTAGAGAATCAGTATTATTTTAGACTGCAATACTTTTATTTCTTTTTCTGTTATGTGAAAGAATTTTTTACAAATCAATATGTGAGTTGCTTTATCAAAGAAATTCAAATTATGATATTAAACAGTGCATTGTGCAATATTTATGTGAAAAAAAGGAATTTTTCTGATTAGATTGAGAACACTAGAATTAATCCAGCTCCAAATCCTTGGTTCCTCAAAACTTAAGGGTTGTTGTTGCTGTTGTGTACCATTGAGTCAGAAACAACCTGTAGCTGACCTTCAGGCAGGTTTTCAGAGATAGTGAATCACAAGGGAGGAGAGTATTCATTTTTCTTCTGCAGAGCATCTGAGGAATTTGAACCGTGCACCTTTGAAGTGGAAGCACAATTCCTTACCACTAAGCCACCAAGACGCCCTTTAAGAGAAAGCTGGTACATACCCTTACCTACTAGTACAATATACCTTATATTCACAGATCGTACTTTTCACAGACATATTTATGAAATTAAAGGTCCTCCTTTAGTAGTATAAACATCTATTTATACTTATGAAAGAGCTAATCACTATCCAATGTTATTTCATTGAGTTAAAAAAGCACATATTAAAGCATGAGTGATAGACATTAGTTCTCCAAGCAGGATGATTTCCTTCACATACTCTACATTCTTCTTACCTAGCTTGACAAGGTGGAGCATGGAAGTGTTACTGCCTCTTTCGGTACAAGCAGTGACTGACAGGTTGTAGATGTCTCCTGCGGGCAGGCTCAGAATTGCAGTCATGACATTTCGTGTTACCTGCAAGATTATAAAAATAAAGCACTTACATTTCTGGTAGACTTGACTCAACATACCACCTCAATTACAGTCCTATTGCTGACTTTTCTTCTCAATTTTGTGCTGTCCTCTTTTATTGATTAACAAAGATATGGGTGTATGATTACTTATTACATTATATACAGTTCTAAATTGGGTCAAAATGCATAAATACATTTCAGATGGAATAATTCTGCAGGTAATTTTCTTTCATAAAATGGATATTACTCTGATATTTTATTCTCATATTCAATGCTGGGTGCTACTGATATAGATAAATTGTATGGCTGTGGCTGAGAAACACAGAATAAAACCCAGCCACGACTATAGATTTTTTAGCTAAAAATTATATTTCCGAGTCATCCATATTATTGAAGGGGTCATGTAAATAATTTTGACTAATGGATTTTTTAAATGGAAATCATATAAGCAAATCATGTAGGAAGTAATGGATCTCATTTCTTCTTATTTTCTCTTTCCTGGACCCTGAGATATCAGGCTTCCGTCTCATCTGTGCAAATAAATCCTGTATATGGTAACAGGTGGAGCAACAAGACAGAAGGAATCTGGGTCCTTGAATGATATTATATAGCAGAGGAGCCCAGTCAATTCAAGAGAGACATAAACATCTGTCTTGTTTGTGACACTATTTTGTGTCTTTATTGCAACAGATCAATCTGTACACTAATACAGTATCTAAAAAAGGTGAATAAATTTGAGTTTACAAATTTTAAAAAAGAAATATTTCAAGTGTATCCAATATTTCCATTTAGTGATATATGTGAAAATAGCGGAATAACATTTTCTTGAAAAATATCATCATGAAGAAAAAGTACCAATAATAACTGTAAAACAGATTAAAAGGTACCCTACATGAGAGGAAGAAGTTAATTTTTTTTCATTGTTCTGTCTCCAAAGCCAAAAGTAATAACACCAGGTACAGAAAATTGTGTAGTGTCTTAGAAATGTTTGCTTAATGGGATTTCTAAAAAAATATAATATTCATATTTTTTATTTGTCCAGACAAATAAATGTGTAGAATTTAGTTAGGCCCATACTCTAATCTCTGGAATTTGAAAAGAAGAAATTATTTGGAAAAGGGATTTTTTCCATATGTATTAATAAAGTTAAGGATATCAAGATCACGCTGGCTCATTAAGGTGAGTCCTGAATCTACCTTGTGAGATGAAGAGAAAAAATAAGACATGAAGACAAAACAAACATTAGAGTAATGCTATTACAAAACAAGGGATCCCACAAAGAGTCAAAGAGTGAATTCTCCCCTAGAGCCTCTGGATAATGGCCTTACTGACTTTGACTTCCAACGTTTAGAATTATGACAGAATACATTTATGTAATATTCTGAGAGATCACTACATAAACTAGTTGTGGTAAATTTCTACAGCAACCATAGTAACCCAATACAGACAGTCAATATTGAGACTTCTAGAAGCATACGCTCTTTTTAATCTTCTTCTTTCCTTCTGCAACAACCATCCAGTGTAGCATTCTAGAATGGGAGAGGTCAGTGGTGTCATCCCCGTATGTCCAGCTGATATACAAAAGGCTGTTAAAATATTCCACAGAAGTGATTTCTGGAGCCACTGGAGCTACAGGGGAAGAAAGAGGCACACGTTGGTATGATAGACTAGTGAGAATGTAAATATGTATTAATAGTATATAAATCTCATATTACTTGTTGTTGTTGTTGTTATGTGCCGTCGAGTCGCTTGCGACTCATAGCGACCCTATGTACAACAGCCCTAAACTCCACTCTGTC